ATACAAATATACAAATATACAAATATACAAATATACAAATATACAAATATGCAAATATGCAAATGTACAAATATGCAAATATACAAATATACAAATATACAAATATACAAATATACAAATATACAAATATACAAATATACAAATATACAAATATACAAATATACAAATATTTACATTCCATACCTTGTTTTCCTACCATTTCAAATCGTTTTGTGTAATAATATTAGAATCTAAAAAGGTTAGGGTGATATTTGAACTCCCCCTCTCCCCCACCTTTACATTTTTCATATTTCTATTATTTTGAAACTTGATAAGTCTAAAGATAAAGTAATTATGAGGTGTTTTAAAAAATATTTGTCTGAGCAACAAAACAAAAATTAAGCATCATTAACGAGAGTTCCACGGTGGACTAAGACAGAGGGGTCGGTCAAATAGGCCTAGGATTAGGCCGGGTACTGTAAAAAGTCTGAACGCGCCATGGGAGTTGTCATAGTTAGCCCTCCGACGGGACTATGCCAAGAAAATTGACCCCTGCCGTATGTTAGTATGGTTAGGGCGACGTACTGTACCATATGATCGGGTCAGTACACGCTGTTATCTGGCAGGCCAGTACAAACTGGTCAGGTCCTGTTGGAATTCAAATATACTACGGCCCAGAGTGGTTCATGCATCGATTTTGATGGTTATTATATCGTTAGAACTGACGAGGGTCAACCCAGACCGAAATATATTTTCAATAAATGTGGAACTAACATATGATCGGGTCAGTACACGCTGTTATCTGGCAGGCCAGTACAAACTGGGCAGATCCTGTTGGAATTCAAATTTACTACGGCCCAGAGTGGTTCATGCATAATAATTTAATATTTTAAAAGCCTTTTGGGAAATCGAAAAAAGTCACACAAGTTTTGTCAAAAATGAAAAAATACATCTTCATAAGGGACTGTAAGCGTAATTTAAAATGAGCCTCCATGGTAAAGATGACAATGCCTGATTTACAACGGTACCCTAAAAAGCTTTGTCTGATCAAGTATGAATTAGATATCAATGTTTTTGTTTCTTTGAATCATTTATTTTCATTTGCGGTTTCCCTACACAAGTGACTTGCACTTTTCTTGCTTATAAGAAGCAATAAAGAAATTATCAGAATTAAACTATTATTTACTCAGAAAACGACGGTATCCTTCACATTTTTTGATAAGAATTAAGGTTTCAACCTCAAGGGTACCGTCGGACATTGCCTTTTTTGCATGGAGACTCACTTAAAATTGCGCTTACAGTTCCTTTACGACGTAAATTTGGTCGCTGTATTTTAAACCCCTACAATACGTGGATACAGAACCCGGCCCAATCTTTTGTGATTAAAAATTTACAATCCTTGCAGCCGAATACAGAGCTAATAAAACGAGTTATAAAAAAGCAAGGAATGAGTTACAAAATGTACAAAAAATATATTTCTGACAAAGAAAAAGCTGTTTATTATACATACCAGGGCCTCAAGCACTTTATATCTTCTTTCCCTAAACTTGGATAAAAAACATGGAGAAAATACATCTTAGGGGTGGTGCACTTTTATAATTTAGATAAATTAAATAAATTGATATTGCTCAATCGGAAACTGTTTTTTATAACATATGAAAAAATTCTCTAATATTAATGAAAAAAAAATTAAAATCATTAGACCCACAGCACCCCACTCGAAAAGTTTCAGGATCTGAGCCAGTATAACATGAAGTATATGCAATATGCATCCTGTCGTACTGTCCAGTCGGACTACCCAATGTAGATTCGACCCAGCACGTTTTATGCAACAAATGAAGCCTAGCAATAAGACAGTGACAGTGAAACACTGAATTCAGAAATGATGTTAATCTGCTCTCTTTGTAACTCCCCAATATTTCTATATCCTCCCAGTTTTGAATATAAAAATGGTGTAAAGTTAAACTTGTGAAAATCTGCATAAAATCCGAAGAACGTTTAACATTATACATTTACTTCTGGTACATTAGCTTCCTTAGAATACCCTTGAGCTAGCACACCATCAGGGTTGTCTGGGAAAATATACATCCGTTGAAAGGGAGTGTTCACGTTATTTTAAAATTGATTTATTATTGTACACATTAAAGGGAGTAAAGTACATTTTTATATTTTCGCAACCAGTTGTTGCAGAATGTTTATTAGGTTTTATTATAAGTTTAAGTGACCCTCCATGCAAAGATGGCAATACTCGACTTATAACTGTACCCTTCAAATCTTAGTCTGATTTAAAATGTGAAATTTGCCGTCGTTTTTCAGTGTTTATTTATTATAATTACTCCATTGTTTCTTAAAAACAAGAAATGCGCAAGTAAATTTGGCAGAGAAGCCGCAAATGAAAAAAAATCCGTTTAAAGAAACAAAAACATTGATATCTAATTCATACTTGACAATAAGCAATTTATAGAAATGAAACATTTATATTTACTTCAGACAAAGTTTTCAAGAGTACCATATTAGATCAGTCATTGCCATCTTTGCATGGAGGGTCACTTGAATTTACGCTTACAGTCTCTTTTTAGATTATACTTCATAATGATAAATCAGTAAATGTTATGACATTGTGCTAATCACAACTGTACCCTTGAAACCTTGATCTGATTAGTAATGTGAGAGAAATTGGTTTTTTTGAATTTAAACGGAATTCCGATTAGAAACCCTAATATGTATGGTGCTACAAAATGTATATAAATGGTGCTACAAAATATATATGTATGGGGCAACAAAAAAGAGTCCTACAAAATATATATGTATGGTGCTACAAAAAGTGTATGTATGGTGCTACGAAATGTAAATGTATGGTGCTACAATATATATATGTTTGGTGCTACAAAATATAAATGTATGGTGCTACAAAATGTATATGTATGGTGCTACAAAATATATATATATGTTTGGTGCTATAAAATATATATGTATGGTGCTACAATATATAGATATGTAAGGTGCTACAATATATATATATATGTGTTTGGGCTACAATATATATATATGCATGGTGCTACAAAATATGTATATGTATGGTGCTACAAATAAGTGAATTGGTAAGGAAAAAAAACAAAGGCCAAGGCGATGTGACACTTTAAAGTGAAGGCCGTCTAAAAATTTCCGAGTTGTTTACATTTCCTTGCATGTTGCAGAAAAAATTGTAATGTATGCTCGAGATGCATCAAACGGTTTTCTGCTTAATCTAATAATCTAATAAGATACATTAAATATAACTAATTAATGCATTGTAATTATAATCTGGGGGTTTCTTATATCTGTAAATATTTTTACAAATATTATATTTACTTCGTCTTTTTTGAAGCTATAGAAAACTGTTTTAAGTCTTCATTTCCTGAAAAGAAAATAATTTCTGCAAATAAGAGTAAATCATACAGTCCTTGAATGACGGAAGCCAGGATTATCTCTATAAAAACAGATTTTTTAATAAAAATTGAGTAAACCCTGTCCTGAAACTAAAATGAGATTTAAAGAGTACAATACAGTTTATACCCGACTAGCAAACAATAAATACCCAACAATATATAGTGTTTAAGGAAGGGGGTGGAAATCTATAAATATCCCTGATACTTTTTTGAACGATGGCAGCTGAAATATCTGAAGGTTTCAATACGTTTTTCTCTTGTATAGGTCCTCAACTATCCCGAACTCAACAAAAAAATTCTCCGATTATCTCTAACAAAAAACTGATGAAAACTGTGTGTTTACAAATACGACCCCTAATATCATAAATGATGCTCTTAGCAAATTAAAAAATAAAAACAGCTCTGGTCCAGATAACATTTCTACAAACCCATTAAAGTCGATAATGCCAAGTATCATGGGTCCTATCTGCCATTTATTTAATATTATGTTGTTTAAAAATGGTTATATTCCAACCATGCTTAAAACTGGTAAAATTGGTCCAGTCTTCAAGACTGGAGAATCTGATAAATTTACAAATTACAGACCAATTAGTTTACTTTCATCTTTTTCAAAACTTTAAGAAAAGTAGCGGGAAATCTAATCATGAAATATCTAAATAAGTTTAAACTTCTCTATGAGCACCAGTATGGGTTTAGGGCTAAGCATAACATCTACCCAGCCTTTAATCCATTTTCTAGATAAAATTTACCAAGCCTTAAACAAACCGGAACCTGAGTATACTTTAGGAGTGTTTATTTAACACTTTTAAAAAAATAAATCGGAAATTTTGAAAGATCTATTAACTATCAAATTTACATTCTGAATACAGGCTCATTAGAATATCTTCCCTCATATGCACTTCTTAAGATATTAAGGTGCCACTTGATTTAAGAAGAGGTGTCTGGTTAGGCATATTTAAAAAAAGTTTATTTGAAATGCTATCTAACGCCTACATCACAATAAACAAAATATATTCATCTAAATATCTTTTGTATCGTAAATAATATTTATTAAAAGTTTCTCTGGCAAAGTTGTGAAGCTGTAATCCTGTGCTATGTATTTTTATGATCTCTTGAAACTTCTTTATTTATGGCAGTTCTTTATCTGTCGTAAAATATTGGCTGCTGCAGAGAGTCTCAAAAAAAGTATTTATTACAGAAAAATGGAATTATTTTCCTCAAAATCAGTGAAGATATCCAGAAAAGGGATTATTTTACTCAAGAATATTGATAAAAACAAAAAAAGGATTTTTTCATTAAAAAATATTTACGCTACATATAAAAGGGGACTATTTTTCGCAAAAACAGCGGTAAATCCAGGAAAAAAGATAATTTTCCTCAAAAACGTTTGTAATAACAACAAAAAGGATAATTTTCCTAAAATTGTGACGATAACAGGAAAAAGAAATTAATTTCCTCAAAAATATATATGATACAATGAAGAGAGATTTTTACCTCAAAAATATTGACGGTAACAGAAAAACGGGATTATTTTTCTCAAAAAAAGTTACAATAAAATAAAGGGGATTAATTTCCTCAAAACTGTTGAATTTTAGAGGAAAAATGGATTGTTTTCCTCAAACATAGTTACAATAACAGGAAAAAGGTGATATTTCTTTCAAAAAACGGGATCATTTTTCTCAAAAAAATTCCTTAAGAAAAAGGTAATTAATTTCCTCAAAAATGTTGAATATAGGAAGATAAAGGGATTATTTTCCTCAAAAAAGTTATACTAACAGGACATTGTTTTGTTTTCCTCTGAAATAATTAATTTCTTTAGTTATGAAGTATACTATCTCTGATATATCTAATCCTGATATATCCTATCCATTAAATGTTGTTTTATGAAATGTCGTTTTATGAAATGTCGTTTTATGAAATGTCATTTTATGAAATGTCGTTTTATGAAATGTCGTTTTATGAAATGTCGTTTTTTGAAATGTCGTTTTATGAAATGTCGTTTTATGAAATGTCGTTTTATGAAATGTCGTTTTTGAAATGTTGTTTTATGAAATGTCGTTTTATGAAATGTCATTTTATGAAATGCCGTTTTTGAAATGTCGTTTTATAAAATATCGTTTTTATGAAATGTCGTTTTATGAAATATCGTTTTATGAAATGTCGTTTTATCAAATGTCGTTTTCTGAAATGCCGTTTTTGAAATGTCGTTTTATGAAATGCCGTTTTATGAAAGGTCGTTTTATGAAATGTCGTTTCATGAAATGCCCCAACCTCCTTATTTCCATAAAAAATTACATAAACAATTTATAGAATTTAAGCTATTTTAAAATCTCAAAAGTCAGAAAAGTCAGAACTTTTTATCCCAACCTTTACTGTGATTATTTTTAATCTTAAGTTTCATAAATTCCCAAGTTAAGCGGTACAAAATATGATAAAATAAATGTTGGGTATCCTATATATTTATAAAGAGAATTGTAGCATTACGAATTTTATTCAAATCATAGAATAAAATAAAAAATATAATGATAAAATATAAGTCTCGAAATTTATTCAAAATAATTTTTCTCCAGCTTGCAGTTGCATGATGATCATTTACTACAGTTAAAAAAAAATAACTTTGCATTTAAACAATAATTTTCTGCATTTTGCAGATGTACAAGATGGCTGCTATACAGTAAACAAATACAAAGCGATGTTGCCATGGACCCTTAAACTGAAGAAAATATTCACGTGTAAGGTACGTACTGCAAAAAAAATGTAATTGTCCTCATTAAGGGATTGTAAGCGTGATTTCAAGTAACCCATCCATGCAAAGATGACAATGCCCGATTTACAACCGTACACTTGCGCAATTTTTGTTTATAGCAATGAAGAAACTTCCAGAAATAAACACCTTTGAATTAGAAAAATCTTCCAAATTAATCACGGTATCTTCCAAATTATTGATCAGATAAAAGTTTCAAGGGTAACGTTCTAAATCGGTTGTTGTCAACTTTGCATGGATGGGTTACTTGAAATTATGCTTACAGACTCTTTCAAATATCAATGTTTTTTCAATTCAGCAGGAAGAAGAAAATATAAAAATAAAAAGATTCTTTATTAAAATAATTTAATAAATGTTTTGGCACTTAAATACACCTTTTTAGTGACTCTCTAATGTAGAAACGTAATTTCATGCAAAGATATCCATAACAGATTCATAACCGTATCCTGAGAGATGAAAAAATGTGCAGTTGCGGATTTTTCATACTTTTTTGTTGCCTCATTTTGATCAAAGAACATTTTAAAGTTACAACAATAAAGACATTTAAACCTCTCTTGATATCAATTTATAAAGCACTAGAAATTCAAGGCGCTTCGCGCCCTTCTTTCTAGCCTTAGAGGGCGCTTCGCGCCCATCTCCNCGGGTTTACAGTATAAATATATGAACGGAAAAAATAATTATAAATTGAAATAATTATAATTCATTGCATAGTTACAATTTATACAATGTTTGTAAATTAAAAGATTATCAGAATATATTCATTTTGTCCATTCTCACCATGAACAACAAGACAAATGCATTTTAAGAGGAGCATTGTGACAAAAACCAAATCCACTTAAAATACCCCACCGTGGGGAGAATGGAAAAGTAAAATACAAAGCTTTTCAGTTGGCAAACCAAATTATGAAAAGCTTTTAACTTTTTTAACACAAATGTTGTCATTTAACAACTGTCAAAGAGAAAAGACGATCCTTCCTTTTGTCGTCTATTAATTTCCATGTTTTTTTTTGTGGGACACCCTGTAGCTTAAAAGTTTTCTCCCGAAGAAAAGAAACATAAACTGTTTCTAGAAAATGTCAAAACTTTTTCAATTAAAAGGAAAATTTTTCGATATGAATTTATAAATGACATTTTCTGCGCTCTTTTCCTTTAAATATTTCAGGACATAAAATACCAGAACTTCGTGTGTTTTTTAATGCTATTATAATTTCCCTGAAGGGGCCACATAACAAGAATATTTTTGCGCCAAAAAAGCACAAAAATTTAAGCTGCGTTGCACCAAACCTTTGAGCATGAAACAGCTGAATTTTCGTTAAAAGAATGATTTCTTGCAAAAGTTAAGTGAAAAATAACTAATAATTAAAAAATACCTATCATATTTGATTAAGCAAACACAAGAATTGCGCAAATGTCCTTTGAACGATCACAAGCCAGAACGTTTGTGCTGCATGAACCTTGAGATCATAAGCATTTATCTTTATTTTACACAGAACTAAAGATAGATTTAATTCCCTTTCGATATCCTGCAAGGATATCTGTAATGGAGGAATCATGCTTTGATCCTCAATTTTAAAAGTGCCCATATTGGATAAAGAGATCAAGCGTTAAAACTTAACGATACTCTGCACAATAGTTCGATATCAGAAATCAGAACGTTTGTATTGTTAATCTCAGGATGAAGCATCAAATGTTAAAGATTTGGCGTTCAAAAGTTCCGAGCTAGGAAGATTCAATAGTTTTTCTTCCTTAGTTTAGAATGAAAAAAAAATTTTTTTAGAAAAGGGAAAAAATACAATATGTTTATATTATTAAAAAGATAATTAACTTTGAAAAACAAAACAATACACCCATTGACAATTGTTTGTAAGCTCAAGGGTTAATGTGAAAAGAATTAATTTATCTAGATTTACTGATTGAAGTGTTCTTAACTTCAGGGATGATCAAAACACTTAAAACTTAATAAAAGTTTTAAATTGGATTTATGTATATTGTATCTACACAATATGCACATTCATTTGTTTGTTTTAAAGTAGTTATAATTAGAAGCTTTAAATTATTCTCTTAAAATACATAGTTTATACCACGAACCAGTTAAATACAACCTGTTTAAAATTTCTCATCATTCCTATATCCAAAAGGATTTTATAGTACCCTATTTAAAAAAAATTGTTTTTGACCCCATTTTTGTCTGAATCCATGAAAAACAGTTATTTTGAAAGCAATTTTTTTAAATTTTGTTTATTTGGGACCGTACCGTACCGTATCGTTTGGGTACTAAATTGTCGATGACTTCTTATGAAAAATCCCATATGTATCGTTCTAATAGCTGTTAAATATATAAAAAAAATACATTTTTATAATACATAAAATTCCTTGGGTTTACGTGATACATCAAATAAAGAATAAATTGTGAAATATGAAAAAATTTAGATCAAGCATTGATCTCGATATCTACAATACAAGAGTTCTCACCTCTGGCCTTCAAGTTTTCAAATAAATGGCTCTACATGTGTTTCTTGTGTCATGAATCTCAGAATCAAGCATTAATCTACAGACTTCAGGGTTAACTTTTTTCCTCTTGAATAATCTATAGTGATTATACCCGGCAGGGTAAATTCAAATGAAGGATCTAGCAATTGTCCTAAAATTTTATAGTGTCCCCATTGGATATCGAGATCAAGCGCTCAAGATTAATAATACTTCAAAATAAAGTTCGGACCTTCAACGCAGGATTAACAAACTTCTTAATTTTAATAATTTTTTATTGGAAACATTCTTAGAAAAATATTTAATCAAGAAATCAAGAAACATTTAATAATGTTCAATAGTTGACTGATATGTTATAAATATCAAAAATAGATTCAGAATAAAAATCAAAGGAAATCAATAGAAAACATATTCATTCAGCGTCAGGACAAGGTTTCTCTTAATGAAAACAGGAAATGGAGAAAATTTGAAAATCATGATAAAAAAGTAAAAAAGGGAATATAAAAATAAGCTACCGTGTTATACTTTCTCCACGGTGATCAACTCTCCGTGTTATAATTTCTCCATGTTGATCAACTCTCCATGTTATTATTTCTACATGGCCGGTGATCAACTCTCCTTGTTATAATTTCTCCATGTTGACCAACTCTCCGTGTTATACTTTCTCCATAGCTATCAACTCTCCGTGTTATAATTTCTCCATGGTGATCAACTCTCCGTGTTATAATTTCTCCATGCTGACCAACTCTCCGTGTTATAATTTCTCCATGTTGACCAACTCTCCGTGTTTTACTTTCTCCATGATGATCATTTGTTTATTTTACTCCGACAAAAGATTTGTTAGAACACAATAACTGTTCTGGGTGTAAACTAGAAACAAAAGAAAAGGTTTTATTTCTTCTCGTATAACCTTCTAGACATCTGTGTAAATAAACCGAGAAATAAAAGAATAAAAATGTAGAAATAAAACATGAATTTGTAAACTCGGCACCTTATAAAATCCGAACACTTTAATCATATCGAAATTATTTACAATAAGCTCTAAATTACGAAGAGAATGTTAGGAATATTTAAAAATGCTTTTGTCAGGTTTGAGATCGCCAACAAAATGTTTTGATTTCTTCTAACAGTGTAGGGTTTGAAATTGCGGATGTTTAATCGAACCATTCGTCTTTATAATACGAGGCTAATATTTAAACATTTTGAAATCGATTTTCTTATTTATTTCATTCCTGACTAAATAAAAGTATTTTAAAAATATTCTAAAATCTGATTTTCTTATTTATTTCATTCCTGACTAAATAAAAGTATTTTAAAAATATTCTAAAATCTGTTTCAAGTTCTATAAAAATATTCTAAAATCTGTTTCAAGTTCTATACCATACAGTGATGAGACTTCGGAGACGACTGCAGTAGAAAATGTGTTGAACATTCTTTTTAACATTCAGGAATCTCTAACATTGGAAATTTGTCTTATTTGTTTTCCAAATCGTCTAGTATAGACTATTAACTGACCAAATTTACCTTAATAATTGTTATATCTAACGTGCCTTTGAGGTCGTTATTTAAGTCTCATCTTTTGTTGGTAACCCTGTAGGCTGTAGGTTGTGTAAATTCATAATTTTTAGAATATTACCTTTTTCCAAAAAACATTCATGCTAAATATAATATCCAAACTTGAAAAAAAAATAATCGTTTGTAATCTTTTTTTCTTCTATTTATAGATATAAGTGATGTTGGATGCGGGGGGAGGAGGGAGGATTCATTCTAACAGTGTACCATGGTCTTAGCCCTTAGGTTAGTATCATCATTTTCAATATTATCATTACTGAACAATCGTTTTATACTTTTAATGAGATAATTTAAACTTTGTTTTAAGGGTGGTTTAACGATTTCAACATAAATTTTAAAATTTCAGATTATTTAAAAACTATTTTGAAGTTTCTTTTTTTCTTAGAAAGTTGCAACATTTGTAAAAGAAAGTTCGTGTAATTTTATTGCTGGCTTAACTAAATGGTTACTTTTTTAAATTGTCAATTGATTAAATTCATGCATTAAATACTTTTCCATGAGCATTGTTAAAACAACGGCAAGCGTAATTTAAAGTAACCCTCTATGCAGAGATGACAATGCCCGATTCACAACAGTACTCTTGAAACCTTTATCTGATCAATAATGTATATAAGATATTGTTATTATTCTAACTTGAAAAATGTTTAATTTTTGTATGTTTTCCTGCAGTATAAATGCGTAAGTTACTTTTGTATAAAAACCACAAAATAATCAGTATTTTAAACATAATTGTTATCTAATCATTAATAATAAACTAAATAATTTATATTATATATTTATTTTTGCAAATAGAATAAAGCTTATAAAAAAAATTATTAAGGTGGTGTTCCAAATATCTCTTTCTACTCTTAATCATGTTAGTAGGTAAGTCGAAAATTTTAACTGTCTTTTTTTACAAGTGTTTTACAATATATTTTTTTTATAATNCACTGAAAACTTAAATAACGGAAAGAAGGGGTTCGTTAACAGTTTCATATATGTGAGTTCCCTGAAACTTAAATAACGGAAAGAATGGGTTGCTCAATGATTAGGAGGAGAGAATGAAAGGGAAGGGAGGGGGGCGCAGATTTGTTATGAGTTTAAACAATTTAAACCCCAACGCTCCCCTTTCTCTCCCATCTCCCTCTCTCTACACAGGTTTATTTTTTATTTACGTTTGGCATATGAACAACAACAATATTTGAAATAAATATTTCAGATATTTAGAATATTCAGGAACACACGTGTATATTTAGAATATTTAGGAACACATATTTATGTAGATATTTAGAATATTCAGGAACACCTGGAGATATTTAGAATATTCAGGAACACCTGTATGTATTTAGATTATTTAGGAACATCTGTAGATATTTAGAATATTATGCATGAACACCTTTATATGTTTAGAATATTCAGGACCACCTGTATATATATTTTAAATATTCAGGAGCACCTGTACATATATATAATAATTTTATATATTTAGAATATTTAGGAACACCTGTAGATATTTAGAATATTCAGGAACACCTGGAGATATTGAGAATATTTAGGAACATCTGTAGATATTTAGAATATTCAGGAACACCTGAAGATATTAAGAATATTCAGGATTACCTAGAGATATCTAGAAAATTCAGGAAAACCTATAGATATTTAGAATATTCAGGGACATCAGTAGATATCTAGAAAATTTAGGAAAACCTATAGATATTTAGAATATTCAGGGACATCAGTAGATATTTAGAATATTCAGGAACACCTGTAGATATCTAGAATATTCAGGATGAGTTTGTTTGATGTTTGTGTTTAGAAATTCTAATTTACTAATTTAAATATTTAAATAAAATTGTTCTTTTTTACTTTTTAATCTTTTTTAGCTTTTCAGTTCGGTTGAATTTGTGTCTGTGCAGCAATGAGCAAGATGTTTCGATATTAATAACAAAACATGTTGTACTCTTTCAAACTTAAGTTTCATGTATTCTATTATTCAAATTTAAACTTGTATTGTTTATACAACACATATTGAATTACCTTTTCACATAGTGATAGCCAAGATTTTTTTTTGTGAGCATGTCTCTCGATTTCAATAACAGCTTTTTAGTTTTCGCACAAATTCAAGTTAGCCCTATTATTTCTGATTATACTTCACAAATTAATAAAATGTATACAATTGTATTTATTCTTCATAGTATATCTTCCATACTTGGAATTCTAAACTAATTTAAACCTAGCTCAACAATTTTTGCAAAGAATTTTAGCTTTTTTGGCAGAGAATTTTTCGCATTTTCAGTTTTTCATAGTACACACTTTTGAATAATAATATAAACTTATAATAAACCAGTTTGAAATTATGATGGTCGGGTATATGCATGAATATTTTATTTTAATCTGCTATAAAAGAATTATCGTGATTCATGCTCAGCCCTGGTCTTGGTTTTTAAAATTTAAATATTTAAAGCATAAACGCATAAACATAAAACAAGTTTTTATATTTCGAAAGACGTTTAATAATATTGAATGTTTCTAGATCATTTCTTAAAAGGTTTCAGACCGAAATTTCAGATTTATTTTTCAACTCTTATTTTGTAATTCTTATATCTTTGCAACCTATTTTTAAATATTTAAAACTATGCATTTTGTTTCTTAAAATAATCTAATTTTGATTTATAACAGATTTACACCACCAGGTTGCAAAAATATAGGGATTGAAATTTGTGAAAAAAATTCAGTTCCTTTAGACATATAAAAAGCCTTTGATGGTTTGAGAGAACCTCCGCTTTTTAGAAAATTTTTATAATGCAAGATTATAGATTATATATTACGGATTACAGATTAGAGATTACAGATTACAGATTACAGATTACAGATTACAGATTACAGATTACAGATTACAGATTACAGATTGCAGATTACAGATTACCGATTACAGATTACAGATTACCGATTACAGATTACAAATTACAAATTACAGATTACAGAGCATTTAAGATATCAATCTTTACGAGCAATATACTTTAGTTTGACGTGTATATTCTGCTCATTGAGAAAGTTTGTAAAAAGAAAAAGCCCCCATTCTTCCAAATTCTGTATTCTCCCAACCCATCTAAGAACTGTAGATTCTGTATTGAAAACTGGAAAATCAACAAAAACCTGTTTTATCTTCTTCTACTGCTGGTCTATAAAACTAAGTTATGCTACAGGGTGATGCAAAATAATGGCGTCAAAGAAATATTTTCAAAAACTTTGTTACAAAGTGTTAGATATTTTTATACTTATTAATAAAACTGACTTTTATTCTTTTTTTATGAAAAAATGGCCCCAAAAACTAAAATTTGCCACAAAAATATAGATTTAAGATTTTTCCTGTAAATTACAAGTTTCTCAAATGCTTTACCTTCTCTTTTTCCCTTCATTTTTTTACATTTTCCTTCTTTGATTTTACTGACTTCTTTTCTTCTAAAAAAATGGCGAAAATTATGAGCAGCATAAAAATATCATTTTCTATTCTCCTTCTTGTGCATTATTTTATTTCCTTCTCCCAATTTTTTCTATTATACAGACCTGTTCCGCCCTCCCTTCCACAATTAATATTATACTAGATTATCTCCAAGCTTTAACGCGAAAATACGCATGCATTACTCGAAAAATCAACATTTTTACAATTTTTTCAAAATGATTCATTCTTTTTAAATTTTCTGATTAGTCCCGAAATTCTCAATTTAGAGCTATATACGATCCAAATATGATGTGGGACTTCAGAATATATATACTATAGAATAACAGGTGGCACCTGTATTGGTATGACATTGTAAACATGTATTGGTATGTTATTGTGTACATTTAGTACACTGTTCTTGGGCGGATTTCTTTTGATCAGTTACATGATTTCTCAGTATAAACAAGCATGAGGTATTGTTCAGTGTTAAATTGTAACCCGGATCAAACATATAAGATAAGATTTCATTCTTCAAAATCCCTCCCAAGATTACTGAACATCTGGACATTTATGTATTGTACTGCATAACCTCCACAGTCCAACACTTCCCAAACCAAATGCTGCCATGCCTGTTATTCTATAGTATATATATTCTGTAGTTCCTCCCTTCATTCCTTTATTTTAGTTTCCTTTGTCTTTCTCTATCTTCATAATTCTTTCTTCTTCTCTTTATGTCTTCATTTGCTTCTTGTTGCTTACAGGGACTGTAAGAGTAATTTCAAGTCACCCAAAACGTCTGATTCACAACGGTGTCCAACCTTCATTTGATCAATAATGTAAAATATACTTTTGGAGTTTTTGATAGATTAAACTTTCTTCGGTCTTTTATGATTGAACTTATCATGAAAGTGGAATACCGGAGATCTGTCTATAGGCCTGGCAGAAGTCCGGTTGTATCCTTGTATATATATGATAAATGTAGACCTTTTATAAATAGTTTCTCATTTATTTTTAATCTGACATATGATATGTTTATATACTGTAAGGATGTAAGTAAAGTGTATATCAGGGGGTTCAAGAAGGATTAGAAAAGAGAAAATAGACAAGTTGGAAAGATTATAAATAAAAATTTTTTGATTGATTGCGAATTGATTGATTTTTACTGATTAATTGATTATGCAAAATATTGATGATTATCGATTGACAATTGATTAATCGATTTTTTGATTTATTGTTCAAATGAATGATTGATTGAATTTTTTTCAGTTCTAGATGGGTTCAGTGTGATTTAAGGAGAGGATACAGAACATGTTATACAAAACACAACCATTGTAAGTTGGTTTTTTTTTGGTTTTTTGAACCGTTTTTGAATTGTTTTTGGGCCGTTTTTCAATGGTTTTTGGACCGTTTTTCAATTGTTTTTGGACCGTTTTTCAATTGTTTTTGGACCGTTTTTCAATTGTTGTTGGACAGTTTTTCAATTGTTTTTGGACCGTTTTTCAATTGTTTTTGAACCGTTTTTCAATTGTTTTTGGACCGTTTTTCAATTGTTTTTGGACCTTTTTTCAATTGTTTATGGACCGTTTTTGAATTGTTTTTGGACCATTTTTAATTTGTTTTGGACTGTTTTTGAATTGTTTTTGGACCATTTTTCATTTGTTTTTAGACCGTTTTTCAATTGTTTTTAGACCGTTTTTCAATTGTTTTTGGACCGTTTTTGATTACATTTTGCATATATTTTCAGGGTCGAAATTTTGCACAGCAATATAAATGCAAATGTTTGGAATAAACAATATTCTTGTCGAATTTTGACTACTAAATAAAAATATATGGAAAAAGAACCAAAAAAAACAACTCAAGGCACTTCAATAATTGTACATACCTATATTGGGGACTGGGGTCAATACTTATTTTATTTCGTTTGAAGATATCAACGGGTTAAAAAATTATGACCATTTAATTCAGAAAGAAAACCGATCAAAAAGTTTGACGTTTTTTAAACTTTATATCATTGTATAGTAATAAACTTAAGCAGGTAAAAGTCTTTGAATTTTCAAAAAGAAATATCTTGTTGAGGTATGGACCAAACTGTTAAATGGGCATGATATAGGGTTTCTCCAAAAAGAATGATACTTCAAAGATAACTGTACAGACTTAGATCAGTCATGATCCATGAGATTGTAGGAGTGGTAGGTCGTCATTAAAGTCTCATCCCTAAAGGGTAGCTAGTTCTGAATTTCAGTTCCCTGTAAGTTGATAAAATATTAGAAATTATAACGAACAATCTAAAGGCTTGTTTTGAATTATGTTCCTAGATTATCACCAAAGTATTTTTCTTCAAGTTTTCAAGATATAAAGTACTGGNCCGACCCTCCCAACTCAATATCTGATTAATTGTCAGATTGTGATCTAAATGATAAAACTATCTGTCTATCTAGTTCTT